TTGATGGGGATGGAGAACGAGGGAGGAGAAGTTCAGAAAGTGGGGGTAGGCAAAGAGGGGAGGAAGACCGTACCATTTGCGCAGGGAAGCGATGTGCACTTGTCCACCCTCTTCTCACAGTTGAGTCCGGTGTAGCTGTGAGGACACTCGCATATGTAGCTACGGCCGTTGTCCTTCTCCCGGCATTCGCCGCTGTGGAAACAGGGGGAGTCGGCGCATGTCAGCAGGCTGTGCTCACAGTGGGACCCCTCGAAACCTTGGGGACATTCGCACTTGTAGCCTTTTTCCAAATTCTAGGAAAAGGGAAGTGAAAGGAAAGGTTGGTCAGCTGGTGAAAAAATAAAATGTGTGATAGTAAAAACTACTATCTTTCAATTTACTATTTTATTTTCAACTTACTGTGCATATCCCCCCATTCCTGCAGGGGCTGCTGTCACACTCCTGCATCTCCAGCTCACAGTTGACTCCCGTGAATCCTGGCAGGCATGTGCATGTGTAGCTTCCCTGGCCTGTGTTCATGCAGGTGGCGCCATTCACACAAGGATGGTGATGGGTGCAGAAGTTCAGGTCTGGGGGAGAGAAAAGGGCTTGCTTACAGTGAGCCTGCAGGAGGAAAAAATCCATTGTCTACCCTGGATGCATATAAACCCTATAAAAGGAACACTTAAGAGGAAACCTAATTCACTAATGCTTTCAAGTTAATTCAAATGAAAACAAGTAATATGAGATCTTTTAGAAAGGAAGATCAGCAGTAGTCCAAGTTGTCTGGTGTACCTTGGTCACATAATAGGCCTCCCCAGCCCTCCTGACAGTTACACTGCCACGGCAGCTGGCAGGTACCATGTTTACAGGCCGGGTACTTCGAACATTCATCACAGAAAGTGCCTTGCCATCCCTCTCTGCAACTGAAACATGACAAAATATGCTCTATGATTAATCACTTAGTCCTCAGTTGGATCATATACATTCTATAAAACATGCAGTCAGTTGTGTTTGATTAAATGACAGCAGACAGCTTGGCTTTATAGGCCTGTTGTGGATTAGCTGGCTATTACATTAAGAAATCAGTCATTAATCATGAAATGCAACATTAATAGTGCAACCACAGTTGGATACGGTCATTAAGTTTTCATATAAATCCATCACAAAATGAGGCTAAATGCAAAGTTTTGCAATGGTAAAGCTTTTTTCACAGGGCATGTGTTAAGTGTAGTGTGAATGTCGGGGGTCAAACTGTCAAGGAGATGTGTAATAACATAAATGTGAAATATTGCGGCAAAGATTTTTGGCAGCTACAACAGTCAAAACATTTTCCTCTGTTTCCAATGAATATTCATTATTCATTTCTCAGCCCAGTGTGTAGCAACCTTGTCAAAGCAAGAGACTGTGGGACTTAAGATGAACTTTTAAGGTTCTGAGACTGTCTACTGAGTGTGGAAGCAGCTTTACAATGTTAGGTATCTAAAGGGTTTAACCTTGTTTGGGTCAGTTTTAGCTGTGGGAATTATGGATTTGTATCTGAAAAGAGGGAAAAATAGGATTCTAGAGAAATTTCTCACAGCGTGTGGGTGTGTGTGAATTATCCTCACTGGTGAGATGGTAAATGCATGAGACAGGCAGCTGACGAAAAGGCAACATAGGAAGTAGGAAGTCACTGAATGTAGCATGACAGCACAGACTGACATTTTGTTGATTTAGTGAAGTTCAGCTTCTTTATTGAATGATATCGACATATGAATAGATGATGTGAATAGTTAAATGATGAAATATTAACAGTTTGTAGTTGCTGATGTTAACCTGACAGTGAACTTGAACATAAGAGTTTACAGAAACATAATCAAAGCTGGATCTAACTCATTCTGTTCCCATATGTGTTCCTTCCTACACAACAGCTAACACCTATTTCAACACTTCATAATTATTTATACTTACACACACTCGCCAGGTTTGGAACAGTTTCCGTTTCTCTCGCTGCAGCCCTCCAGACAGATAGCTAAAGCACAGAAAAACACAAACACATAGGTTTGCTAGTGTCCACCTAGTTGTAGAGTGACTGTCTTGTGGCAGCTACAATGCAACACTGAATATCAAGTAGCCTTTTACACATTGACACAACTTTCAGACTGTTAAAAAGCAAAAATGCCAGACAACATACTAAAGTTTTTTGAAAAGCAGTCTATATTAATTAAGTCTTAAAAAGCAAAAACACTAGATGTCTCTCACAGTCCATGACACCAACCAAGGCTACAGGCCCTAATTTTCTAGGAATAGCAAACGGTGAGCCCACATGTACAGTACACTAGGCCTCTACTCAATCTGTCTCAACTTTCCTCAGAAGCTTTCATCTGTTCTAAACCTGTCCACCACACCCCCTGGGGGAAATCAGTTGAGGGTTTGTTTGTCCTGCTTTAAGTGTACCATTCTTACATGACACTGATTCGCAGGGCAACATATCAGGCGACTGACGGTAAGCGGCCGGTTTAGTCTAGAACAGATGCGCGCTCTCAATAGCAGACAGCTGTCACTATTGTTGTTTGTGGTCTGCCAGAGCCATATTTGCAGCTGCTACTACCGCGCACCCAACAATGGAAGGGACTAAACATCGGTGGCGCGTGGCGGATTATAATGCTGCGATTAACCTTGGCGCGTGCAGTTGCCACGGCTCCTCCTATCAGTTCCCGCGCACCCCTGCCCGAGGATTAGGTTACAAGGCACGCGCTGTATCCTATAGTACTCTCTGAAAGTACAAGAAACACATTGTTTAGAAACAGGAGTTTTCTGTTTTAATTTGGTTGAACTTCCTTTGGAAACACACAACAAAATGCCAGGTAAATGCACACCTGTGTAGACTAACATTTTACAAACTAAAGGAAATGACCACCTTCGCTGTTGTTTCTGGTTTAATTAGGATACTGCTGTTAGGTTTATCTCAAATTTACAAACTGAGTTTCTACAACTTTCCAAAATGTACCTTAAACATAAATGACTATCTTTACACTTACATGTGAGAATGTGAGCGAAGGGAAGTTTAGATGTCCAATCTATCTTTCACATGTATATTTTCTGTACTCAAGGACGATTGATGTGTTCTTTATTTGCAACACTTGAGCCCATCTGGTTAGAATTTGGTGCCACAGTCAAAATAGCACGTCAGTTTCTTTTTTCACCACCAAGTGACATGGATGACAGATTTGCTGTCACCCATGTGGCCACATTTCCCGCACATGGTAACTATTACGCTCATGGTTCCTCCTTCCAATCTACTCATTGATTAATTTGTTTTGGTGAAAAGGACCTTTGGTTACTGTGGAGCCAAATGGCATCAAACCTCCTGACGGGCCCATTCAGAGCTCTCCAAAACAGGAGTGTGGTCCTATGATTAAGCCAGAAGGGTTTGCACAAATATAATAGGCATGTTGTCATGATAAGTCTGTTCCACAACCTGCATTCAGTAAGTGTTCACAAACTCACAAGCACACATCAGAATTATATGATTACAAATGACATCTCTGAAAATGTATTCTACACTAATATCACCTATTAGGCTTGCCAGGAATCCATGTCTAGTTAAACTGCTCAACGTCTTGTTGTCAGTCTTATCATACAGCTTCATAACTACTGACGCTGACACAACTTTTCTCTCTTTAGGCACAAATAATGATGAAGGTCTAAGGACACGATGAAAAGACTGAAGAGATGTAACAATGCTTTAAGGTAAGGACTGTGAAACTAATCTATGCTTCATATACACCAGTCATTTGCAAACATCTGCATGATACCGCCATGTAAACAAATACACTAAAACAATCTCAGGGGCAACACTGGACATCAAAACTCCGCTGTCAGCGGACAGACATGATAAAAGAGAGCAAGACCAGACTTGTGAGAAACACTCAATCAGCCAGGCGTGAATAATTGAAAAAGCTTTGGTGATTGCTTACGTTCTTCGCAGTATTTCCCCTTCCAGCCAGGCAGACAGGCTAACTCTCCCTCTCGGGTGCAGGTGTAGTGGCCAAATCGGTCGTCCCTGGGTGTGCATTTTTTGGAACAACTTTCTCCGTAGTAGCTTTCATTGCAGATGAACCGGTACGAATACCTTAGCTCTGTCTGCTTTCCAATCTGCTTATCCGGATACCAATTAGTTCCTACACCCAGTTGTCTTTGGATGGTGAAAAAGCTAATCAAGAAGTCTGGGTTACTGGTATCTGAAAGTGGAAGAAAGACAAGGAGGAGAAAGTCAGAATTAATTGATACTGTATAAGTATGGTCAGGAACTGCATCAAAAATGACTATACTCTCAAAAGTCACCCACTTCTGCTTTAATAATCTGCCCAGCACAGAGCTGCAGCACATATCAAATCCCATACAGCTTAGATGAATGATAAACTCAGGTTAAAATTTCCTCTTTCTTTCCATCAGCAAAAACATTCCCAGGCCCAGGCCCCTCTTCCACAGGGCGGAACAGTGTAAGGTGTAAAATACAGGAAGATGTAGTCAGGGGGTTTTGGCAGGCAGTGTATTCTCACCAAAGCCCCCAGCTCTTTCCCACGCCAAAAATAAACCAGAGGAAGTTCAATTGTATTGGTTGTAAGAATGAAAAAGGTGTTCTGAAGTTCATAACAAAGGAGTGAATAGGTGTGAAAATGTGCAAAATCGTGAACAATAAATAACAGGTGGATAAGAACGTGCTAAATGACAAATGGTTTGAACTTTGATTTGTGCAAAACTGCTCAGACATCGTCATGTGTTTAAATGCACAGACAGAGCTCCCTCTTGTGGTAAAAAAAAATGTTGCACTTACCTGCAGGTTGATTTCCATAAGGTGAATGCCAGGCTTCAATTATTAATGAAAATGACCCCTAAAGAGAAAACACATGCAGTTAATTAATATCAATGTGACTGTTTTTTTAACAGTCCAGAATTCAAGGAGAAAAACGGACATGTTTTCTTTTTTCTGTTGACAGATTTTAAATGAATTGTATATTAATATTTTTGTTACACTAAAGCCATGAAGACGTATTTATAGTGATCATTGCATGGCCTTCTGGATTTTGCAGTCCAGTCTGTTTGTCGACAGAGTATTACCTAATGGTCTGGATTAACTGAGCTGGCCAATAATCAGTGCGCTCCCAAAATGCATAGCAGTTCCCTGAAGACAACATAATAGCGGTCGCTGTGATAAAACAAATAAAGTGGATGCACTGCTCCACGCTCTTACCGGCCATCCAAAGTTGAACGGTATTTGAACTGGTCTAGGTAAAGTGCCACTGTCCTTGGCGCTGAAAGAGTTTGTCCCCAGCACTGGTGTCATTGTATTTCCAAAGATGCAGTCACCTGGTGAGACCACAGCCTGATAGTTCTTCAAGCAAATTCTAAAATAAGTCCTGCAGTTGGGTTTGCATGCGTTCCCGTTTGCCAGCAAACCTTTGTGATTTGTAAATTCGTCAAGATCAATCTCAAAAATCCCGGCTCCAAATACCTAAAAGAGAAGGAAATAGCATTTGAGAAAACGTAGGTGCGGTTACATTTAGCTTTTTCTTATGAAAAACACAAAGTAGCTTGCTCTCCATCTGTTTTCGCCGAGGTCTCGGGACCACCGGGGAGATGTATTATCCTCCTTCATACCTGTGTTATCAACGTGGTGCTGAATGCGATGGTAAAGGTGAACCAGGCTGCCATCCTTCTCGCTTCTGCAGGGCAGCCGCGTCACCAGCCAATAGAGCAGCAAAATCTCCCTATTCCAAAGTATTTACGCAGAGGTAAACAAATGAAAAAAATGAAAACAACTCTACAGCACATATAAATCCTTCTTCACTCGCAGGGAGTTCTGCCGTAGCTCCCTGGTGCTGTGCGTCAAAAGCGTCCAAAGAAAGCGTTTCTAATCTCCAAGTTATCCAAAGGTGAAGGAAGACTAATATCCACAGCCGTGCTTCTTTCTGTCAGCAGGCGTCCTCTCCTTGCATGGTACTGTACTCCACAATGGTCACTTCGCTGTGTGTGCACGGCTCAGAGCTTGTTTTGGTGCTGAACTTGGTGCATCACGGATGTTCATCACTTGTCTTATTACTCGTGAATGAACCGTAGTGTGTCCCCTCTCCGATATATAGACTTGAACTGCTCATTACATAAACTGTCAGTCACCGCAGTGACACCGCCCACTTTACATATTCAACCTCCCTTCCCTTCCAGCCCAACAACAATTATCCAGATTTAATATCCACTGGCACTGTGCTGAGAGACCACCATGGATACTGGGCGATTATTGACAAACGCCAACATCTGTTGATTTATTTTTAGCGCACAATACGCCGGATGCACATTTACACATTGCTGGCCTGGGCATCGAGTTAGGGCAGTGAAGGAGAGCCGAAACCTAGCGAACAGAAATCAGGAATTCAATCACTGTCTTATTCCTTGCACACTTTTGCCCTCAGTTCAACTCAATTGCACACCTAATTAGCCTTTACTTCTGCTTTGGAGCCGTGCGCACTATTTCCTTTCAGCCCAGTCTCTCTCTCCATGGGGTCATATGCGTTTCTCCCTCGGGCTGTAGACAAGCAGTGAAACCAGAAATGCGATTAAAGAACAAAATCTCTCCAGTATTTGTTTTTATTGCGGTTGCCTTGAATTTCACCTTTTTTTGTGCTGTTTTATGCCTTTAAAAGCTAATGAAATCCTAACATACCAGAGTACAATTCGTAATGTTGCAGGAACAAAAATTAAACCACAAGATGAATATACACTTTAATGTACAGTGCTGTTCCATGTCCGCAGTCATGCACTGCCTATTGTACTTTTACGCACAGGCCTACGTTGGATCCAGACTACACATTTCATTTTGGGTGTTTCTCGTGTGGTTGGTGGCGTGTGCCCCTCCATGAACACCCAAGCGTTTAGTGACGGTTTAGTGGCAGCGTGTCCCCTATTGTCGCGGCGCGTCCCCCTCTCTCGCCCTCATGCGGGTCGAATATGCGGGACTGGAGACGTAACTATTCAGCTGTATGCAAATGAGCTCCCTCTCTCTCTCTCTCTCTCTCTCTCACACACACACACACTCACACACACACACACACACACACACACACGATGTCACCTGAATCCGTTAAATCGGTTTATTCTTGCTCCTGGCCTTTAACTGTTAGGAATGACACAGGGCCCGTGCACAGCGATATTCCCAATAATGTTTTAACTGATGGGCTGACACTGTTAGTAGCGATGAGAGCGACTAA